GCCCCGCGGGATGGCACAGGTGGGAGCGAAGCACCCGCGCTGTGTCACGCTCCTGGGAGACGTCCACCTTCCACTGAAGATGCTTCCAGCCTCTGTGGCCGATGAGGAGCCCACCCTGTCGCTCTGTGCTGTGGCACTGGGAACAAACCGGGGTGCTGAAAGGACCATAATTTTAAAACCAGCTTTGGGCACTAAAACCAAGGGGCCAAGGCAGCCCGAGTAAGGCCAAGTTGCAGTGTCACCTTCATGCTTGTGGCAGAGGACACCTGGCCACCCAGGAGAGCACGATGGGCGCATGGTGCCCACCGCCTCAGCCCTTCTGCATCCACCCCGGGACACAGCCCAGGCTGCAGGGACAGTCTCCCCTGCAGCTCTGCGGGGCACCACTTGTGAGCACAGGAGTGTTCAGCACCTTCATGCCTGCATTGCCCTGCTGATCCTAGTTGGGGTGCTCTCTAAAGGCTGAAGAGAGATTCCCCAGATTTGCTGGCTGTGATTCAGGGCTGTTCTAGGAGAGGGTGCGTTTGGACCAGGAGCTAAATCAGCACTGCAGCAGGCACAGACCCTGCAGGCAGTGGCCGGAGTCTCAGGGTTTTGGACTCTGAATGCCTCAGTGAGGGTATGGATTGCCCACAGCAGACAGCATGCTCAAACCCACAGTAATCTTCTGCTTACTAGAGGTAAGCTCGCTTCCCTTGGCCACCTTTGCTGGCTCTCTGGATGCAGTCTACTGCCACCAGGGTGGAAAGCGCAGCAGGCTGTGGTCCTGGCATGCCAGGCGGCACTAGCCGTGCTGGGGGCAGAGGAGGAGCTTGCCCGAGTGTCCCATTCTGATCAGCAAATGCTTTTTATGAGACTGTGTCTCCCTGGGGAGACGGGTCAGTTGCCAGCTGAGGTCAGGGGAAGGAGCAGCGGGAGAGGCTGGGGCAAGCTGCATCCTGCATACAAGTCAGCCTCTGCACTGGAGCATCTCAGCATGGCACAGATACTTGTGTGGGCTGGGGGACCATGTGTGGGCATTTGCCTAGAGCAAATGCCTCCTTGCACTGGTCCTGGCTGAAGCTGCCAGCGCTTCCCTACGCAGAGCAGACAATGTAAGCCCTACCTCCCTCTCTCTGCAAAGTGCAGGGCGCCACAAACAGTAGCCAAGCCGTAGGCGAGGGGCCAATGCACATTCCTTGGCCTGCAGATGTAGGGGAGGAGGTGGCGGCAATGACAGCACTCTGCATTGCAGCACCGGGGCCAGGCGCTGGCAGCCAGACCTGGCACCCTGTACGGACACTCAGCCCAGGAGCAGGACCTGAGCGCTGGGAGGGTGCCAGGACTCGCTGCTGGTGATGGTTGGCGGTTGTTGCTCCCACCAACCTGGACCTGCACTAGCCCCGGCACCACTTCTCCCACACACCCCCCCCCAAGCTGTGCCACCCCTAAGGCAGTGCCCCTCAAGGGAGAGGAGCCAGGCGTCCCCAGGGCTGCAGGATGCCCTCTGGCCGCCAGCCAGGAGTCCTGCACCGACTTACCAGGGCCAGTCCTGTCCCGCTAAGGCAAGCGGAGGCACCACCTCCCAGCGGAAGGGATTTGGCCAAGGCGAGAACTGTTGGGTCCTGCCCTGCCAATCCCCCCATGAGCGCAGAACAAGCACAAAGCCTGGCTAAAGTGGGAATGAGGTCAGGGGACAGCCTCCCACTAAGCTGATTAGAGGAAAGCATCCCCCTAATACAATAAACTGTGCCAGAGCAGTGCAGTTCCCACCGGCTGCAGATCGGGGTCAGACAATCTCCTGCCCCGCGGCATCCACAGGCAGAGGGACGGCGGTCGGGGTGCCTGGCTGGGGCCCAGGGGCCAGACACGCCAGGGCCCCCACGGGCTGTGTGCCCTGCCTCCCCTGCTCGCTGCACGGGCAGCCCCCTGGGCATCAGGAGCAGCCACCCTCTGTTTGGGTTGGGATGGGGGCAGCCCCAGGGAGGAGAAGAGGAGCGAGACCCCCCCCTTCACAGCCCAGCCACCCTGGCAGCTCAGTGCACCGGCTCCCACCATCTGCACAGGGCTGAGTGCCGCCGCTCGCCCGGCAAGCTCTCCCAATCCTGGGGCCCTGGTACGTGGCTGATAAGGAGCCGCACCCTAACAACTGTCCCGGCTTTTCTTGTTCACTCTTGTCCTTGTGGCCATGTCAGCCCTCAGCTTGGGCTGCTCTCTGCCCTCGCCCTGCGATGCCTTTACTGCCTTCCCATTCCCAGATGGCCTTTGCTGGTGCAGATGAGCAGAGCAGCTTGACCTGCCTCTCCAGAGCTCCCCTGCCCACACCTGCCCTGAGGGTCTCTGTGGGGCAAGGGCTCAAGCGCTGGGGTCCCTGGCCCCAAGGGACTCATCGGTCTCTCCTCACACAGCGCCGAGTACCCCGACCTGCGGAAGCACAACAACTGCATGGCCAGCAACCTGACGCCAGCCATCTATGCCAGGCTCTGTGACAAAGCAACCCCAAACGGCTGGACCTTGGACCAGTGCATCCAGACGGGCGTTGACAACCCCGGCCACCCCTTCATCAAGACTGTGGGCATGGTAGCTGGCGATGAAGAAACCTATGAGGTGGGTGGTGGCCAGAGCCCTGCCATGCTCCAGGCTCTCCAGGGAGCCTGCAGCAGCCAGAGGAGCCCCGGTACCTGTGGTACATCCAGCAGCCTGGGATGTTACTGGCCTCTCCTCCTGCCCAGCCCGGGTGGCTGGAGAGGCCCCTTGGCCAGCCCCAGTGTGTCCCTGTGGGACACAGGGCTCCTTCAGACCAGCTCTTCCTAGAGCCCCGCAACCTCCTCCTCCTTGCCCCTGAGCCCCACTTGCCCAAGCGGCGTTGGCTCCGCGGATTGGTATTGCATGGCAGGACACACTGTGGCCCCCAGCCACCCTCTGCAGCCCCCCTGCTGCCACATCCCCCACACTGGCAGTGAGACCATGCCAAGCTCATGGCAGGGGCTTCGTGGGGCACTGGGTCTGCAGTGCTGCACATCGTCCTGCTTGCTTCCAGGTGTTCGCCGACCTGTTTGACCCCGTGATTCAGGAGCGGCACAATGGATACAACCCCCGCACCATGAAGCATGTCACAGACCTGGATGCCACCAAGGTGCGGGAGCCAGGCAGTGGTGCTGTGCCCAAGGGCCCTTCCCCAGGCCTCGGGGGACAGGGCCCCTGCCAGCACCAGTGCTGCCCTGTAAGTGCCCCACGGCTCCTGTCTGTTCCAGATAAAGTTTGGCCACTTCGATGAGCGCTATGTGCTCTCGTCCCGGGTCCGGACTGGGCGCAGCATCCGCGGGCTGAGCCTGCCGCCAGCCTGCACCCGCGCTGAGCGGCGAGAGGTGGAGAAGGTGGCGGTGGAGGCGCTGAACGGCCTCACCGGAGACCTGGCGGGCCGGTACTACCGCCTCAGCGAGATGACGGAGAAGGAGCAGCAGCAGCTCATTGATGTGAGTCAGTGCAGCTCCCAGCCAGCCACCCCGGGTGCTTGTGGAGCAGGACCCCTTCCCTGGCACTGCCTCTCCGGGAGGCCATATCCTCCTTTCCCAGCCTCGCTGCCCTGTGGGACCAGGACCCCTTTCCCCAGCGAGGCTGTCCCGTGGTGCAGAGGGTGCTCACAGTGCTGCTCAGCCCTCCCAAGCTGGGGGAGGACAGAGCTCGCTGAACACAGCCCCAGCAGCTCACGTTCCCCTCCAGCTCTTGCCCCATGTCCCTTCCCATGCCCAGGGGAAGGCAGGCTTGCAGCACACAGCCAGTGCCCCACCAGCCCCTGGTACAGGGTGGGCTGTGCACCAGCAGCCCTCTGCCTCCCTGGCCAGGAAGGCAGGGACTCCTGCCCACAGGTGGGGAGAACAAGTGAGCTTGCCCTGCCTGGGACAGCTGTGGTGCATCACCTGCATGGCAGGCTGGGACCAGTGAGACAGGGCGCCCTGGCACCAGCCATGCAGCCCTGGCGAGCCCACGCACTCTGCCTCCCTCCAGGACCACTTCCTCTTCGACAAGCCGGTGTCCCCACTCCTGACGGCCGCAGGAAAGACCGCGG